AATATTATCGCATGTAGTCAGAATTCTGAATACAAGGAGAATTGACATGGAGATAAACATCAATAATCGTTTTTTTTTTCTGTGATTAACACGTGAGGCGAAGAAGTAGAGAGATAATCGTAACTTTTACATAGAAAAAAATATCAGACCTAAATCATTTATCAAATATTTTCTCGATGTCTCCGTTAGCATATCTCTTTCGTAAGTCCCCGCAGGAAAATGATATACTCTCCTACTGTCACGATTTCTACTTCTATATTTCTTCGTTCTTGTTCTTCTCGAAGCATTAATATGCAAGTAAACCATTTTCTCGAGCTCATCTGCAAGACATTGATGCTATATATATATCATATAATGGTAAAGAGAGTGATATGTGTCTTTCTCTGGTACACACACAACACGCGTATTGTTAGGGCGATGTTGTATATTATGCTACGATAGTCTTTGATAGATGATCGACATTTTTATGCATATCCTTTTTTGTGATACTCTTAAGTTACTAATATGTGTTCGTATCTGTCCATTTAGCGATCTTTTCTTAACAACCATCGATTAATGAAAAGTATTGTCGTTAAATGTTGTAATTTTTATTTTCCTATAGCTATTGTATAGTCTCAAATAGTATTTATTTACTGACGAAAGAACCATTTCAGTTGCCTCCTTCCGATTTCAATCATTTTTTTCCCCATAGCAACAACATAGTGTTCGAATAGAAACCTTAAAAGAATTTGGATTCCTATTGAGATTCCACTAAGTTATGAGATTTTTACTATATCTATTTACTAGAAAATTCAGATTTTTTAAAAGGACGTGGGATGTGAATGAGTGGGTAAAAAAAATCTGAAGTTTTGAACAAAGTCTTTACTGTCTATAAAAAATGGTCTATATCGTCAAAGTCTCAGGTCTCGAAGACATCGTGTTTTCTAAATGCACAAAGTATAAGATCGAATTCAAACGTATGTTTTTTCTGAAAACCTGAAGCACTCTAGATAATAGAAAGATGAAAAAGTCAATATCTTACGAGGGAACATTTTCAGGTGCTAAAAAGCTTTTCAACCGGGGATGTGATAACTAGATAGGGCATAGGTAGCAGTGATACACCCTAAGTTAGTTCGCGCCCAAGTTGAGATTTGGCTGAGATATCGACTTTTTACTAGAATTTGCCTATGGGACCCCATCTTTCCCATGAAATCAAAGTTTTGAATTTTGAGGTGAGACTTTGCCCATATCAAGGCCTCGGCTAGGGTAGTTCATCCACAAAGTTTCAGAATTTTCAAGCTAAGCATTCCCGAGATATAATGTTTTCAAAATATCCATGCATACAGCAATATCCGTAAAAAACTGTGTTTATACTAACAGACTCAAATCTCGGGAATGCTTAGCCCGGAAATTCTGAAACTTTGTGGATGAACTACCTTAGCCGAGGCCTTGATATGGGCAAAGTCTCACCTCAAAATTCAAAACTTTGATTTCATGGGAAAGATGGGGTCCCATAGGCAAATTCTAGTAAAAAGTCGATATCTCAGCCAAATCTCAACTTGGGCGCGAACTAACTTAGGGTGTATCACTGCTAGCTATGCCCTATCTAGTTATCATATCCCCGGTTGAAAAGCTTTTTAGCACCTGAAAATGTTCCCTCGTTAGTCAAATCTCAAAAGGAACCTCAATCATTTTCGGGTTTCTATGAGAATCTATAAGTAATAAATCATTGAAATTGAAAAAGGACAGCTGATGAGGTCTGTTCGTGGGCGAAAGCTACACATCTTTCATGTTTTCTCAAACAAATATTTTCAAGGAAGACAGTACAGGAATGCCTTCTGTTACTTAGGTCTGATACATCGGATCAACGTGAAACTTTCTCACATGTACTATACACAGTTTGGTATAGGCGACTTCTTCACTGCTTGAAAAAAACTAATGTGCCAAAGTTATGGTAAGGTACTCACACCTAATAGTGTCTAGTGCCTGTAAACAAATTTTTCCGGCTTAACGGAATATAGCATCTCCAAGAAATGAGAATCCCATTGTGATTCCAGTATCTGATAGAGGATAGCTTTTCAGAAGTGGCAGAAAAGGCAAGAAACCCTTCAGGAATTAATATAGTCACTTTTTTGTTGAGTTCGATTGTTATCTATGAAAAGGACAATATACAATTCATATTTAAAAGAATAATTGAGTGAAATGTTAACTACTATTGTACTATTTTTAATGAATGAATGATATTGGTGTTGAAGTCAATAATATGAATGACTGAGCCATTTGCAAATGTTTGTATTTTAATATTAATGGATATCGCCATGATAGTTGTGACTCTTATTCCGAGTTATATTAAATAAAAAAATCTCTTTATGCTGCAAGCATGTCTTTTTTTTCTTCTTCATTCTGAACTATTGCTCTTGTTTCCTAATAGTCTTATTGTGTTTTAACTCTGGAATCTATATGAACTCGAATTAGTCTTTCTAACACTTAAATCTTAGTTTTCAGCATTCATATACATCAAAATAATTGTCCTTTTACATGATAGATTCCTTTGTCTATTGAGCCAAACAAGAATCTGCAGCATTAGAGATTTTGAATTAATTATTTTAATCTTTCAGTATTCAATCTAATGTATTGTACTATATAAGTTGATTCGAATGGAAGCTCAAATCTCTTGAAATAGTATGATTTTTGCCTACACGAAATCATCAAAAATTACTATCACGATAATCTGTCTATCAACTTTAAAGAAATCTCATCAAATAAGAAACAATTTCGTATATGAATACAAATATCTTAGAATTCGATGGCACAAAATTTATTTTTAGAATAACTCAATACGGTGAATATGAGTATTTGACGTTTAATTCACACTAATATCCATTTTAAATAATGTGTTCATATCGCTTGTTGATAGAAACAATAGTAAGAACAAAGTACTCAAGCTAGAAAATGTCACAAGTATTCATATATAGTTTTTGTGTAGTCTTGTAGTTTAGGTACAATGACTCATAAATAGAGATTGCAGGACCAAGTCTTGTGGTCCTAGTATCTGTGTAGAGAGAACTATTCCAGAGTTTATTCATATCACATTCCCAGCAAAACGAGAGATTTTAATACATTTGATCTGTACTAAAAGATATAATTGTGAAGTGTTAGTCTTCTCACTTGTCTGGTCTTCCAGCCTAAATGTCGTTCTTGCTCTCATCCCAACAGAAGTACTTAATCTCAACATGTTTCCTTCTGTTTTCTGACAAAATGTATAGAGAAAGGCTGCTATGCATTTTTAAAAACTAAAAAAATTAGAAAAAAACATCAGGCATTCAGAAGAGTACACAACATAACAGTAAAAACAAGTGAATAAAAAAAATTATTCAAAAAATTGAGAAATACTATAATATATAAATAAATAGCCGTAATCATTCGAAAATAATGTAATGTATGTGTGCATAATATGAGATTGCAGTTGATTCCCCGCACTAGTTATTAAGAGTCCTTTGATTTCATGGGTTTTCATACTCAATCGCGAAAAAAACTGTAGTGGCATATAGAATAATATATTTATTTAAACTTGTATGTTGAAATCAAACGTATTGTGATTTAGATTCTTCAGCAAAAGTCCAATCATATTCGGAAAGAGAACAGTTGAAAATGAAAAAATTTCTTTTCTTTTCTTAAATAATAATTCATCGGAAAAGTCTAGAGAAACAAGTCGATACATTATTAAAACATCATTGCATTATGTTCTCATTTTATTACATTAACGTTTTGCTAAATATGCGTTGAAAAAACAAAAATGACGATTACAATATTGAACACTCATTCGAATACACGAAAAGTATTCCTGTATCTAAAATTACCCGAGTAATTGAATTACTCATTAGTGGTATAAACAAGGGCGGGCTGGGTCGAACATTGTTCTAACACTAAAAGAAAGAAAAACATAACCATTATCATCATTGACATCATATTTCATGGTAGACCGACGACATCTGATACACTAACTAGTCCAATTGACAGGGCATATCAAAGAGTGTGGATGTTGCTGATCTCTGTAGAAGTACTGTTTATTGGTTTACGGTGAGAAGGATTTCTTTATTTTAAAAGAATTATTGAAGGACGACTAATTATGAAAACATTCGTGTGTATGTGATTTCTTTACATTAGGATCAATATGTTTACTTTTAGAATTAGATAATGTATACAAAGAAATCGAATGCGATTGTTTATTTTCAACAAATTAGTTTTAATAGTTTCATAAGATTTAAAACATAACGATCTTCAGGAAGAAACTTATATGAAAATTCATTTATACCCAAATTTCTGGTCAAAAATTGAATAAAGAAAAAAGTGCACTTTTATTTTTATTTATAGTTTCGTTATAAGTTTGATAATACACATATTGCTTAGATTGTTTATTTGATAAGATAAGTCTTACATTAAAAGTTTTCATGAGAATCAATTCTTTCATGAGTAACTCTGACGATATTTCGGCTTGTTTATTTCTATAAACACTTACATCGATCCAGGACTGTTCCGAGACAGCCAACATGTGGAGAATGTTGCCATTTCTTCGCAAAGGTGTAAAAGTTTTTTCTTTCATCTAAGAAAACAGAAGATTGAGTATGTCAAGCTCTCCTATGATTGGAAACACTCTCAATGTATCGGAATAAAACATGAACAAATATGTTTTTTTAATAAAAGACTGTCAGTATACTCATAAATTGACGTCAAGAATTCAATGCCAAAAACAATATGGAGTTTTTATTTGTTGACAACGCAAATATCTTATGATACAACTTTTGTATCGATACATAGTGTTCTAGTTAATAAGACTGTTGATATAAAACAGATATTATTCATAACGAATGGTAATACTGATGCGCATTTTGATGTATAGAACGAAAATAACTGTTTTCTATTCGCTAACCAGTACAGCTGTATCCTCCGCTTATGTATAAACAGTAGAATTCAGTTAATTTTTGCTTCTATGTATTTCTAGAAAATATATACTTATAGAAATGGAACCAATATCATCATCATCAACATCTCCGTAAGTTAATTTTTCGTAAATATTATTCTTATTTTAAATTAATTAATTGATGTTTTTTTTTCGTATAGAACAAGTCAAACGAGAAAAACTATTCGAATATGGCCATTTCCTCTTCGTCTTATATGGGAAATATTTATTCTCGTTTTATTTTTTGTTGTTATATTTATTTTTGTATTAAAATGGCCTGATGCTGAACATAAAATTCATGGAATGATTCTTGCAGTAAGAAAATTCAACATAAAAGAAAATAAAATATCTTTTTTTTTTTGTTGATTATATAGAAAACACGTTTAGCACCGATGTCCGAAGGAAATATAAGTTGGATGAATCCACCCGTTTTAACCATACGTGAATATCGTTTATTCAATGTAATAAATTATATGGATATAATGACAGATATAAATAATCCATTAATGGAATTTCGTGAAACAGAACCATTTCCATATAAGTAAGTCAGATTTTTGCTGTAACACAGTTTGAATATATTCAAAGATAAAATAAATACTTTGAATAAGTCCAGTAATAAAAAAATTTTGTACTAAATTCAAACGTGTCATTATTAAAAAAAACCTATTGCCATTGAAAAGCTCAAATGTTGAATACAGGATAAATAAATTCTTCAACTTGATTACTTTCAAGATGACTGATATCTGATTAAATAGATCCACCAGCCTCTAGTCATTTCAGAAATACTTAGGATGGACTAATCAAAAAATACAATAAACGGGATAAAATTATGTTATATCTTCAGGACGTCTATTCAAGTACGGTTCGACCAGATCCGAATTAGTGCTCTGCGTTCATTGCATTAGTTTTTCCGCAACATAAATAATATCATACTCTTAGCTTATTGCAAATCATTTATTCATTTTCTCTGAATCAAAGCAACTAGACATCAAGATTACAAGAGAAATAAGAACTGAGATAATTTTGAATTTGAATTCTAATTTTTCCTGAGGTAAATACATTTAGATTTTACATTATCTCTACAAGATACTTTTTTTTTATACAACTCTCAAACTTGGAGACTAATTCATTGTAAAGATGTCAGACATAGTAGAATTATCAGCATTGATAGTCAACGATAGAAAATTTGAGAATCGAAATTGAACTAAATCCGTAAAGAATTTGAAAATTTGATTTTGTATATAATCTGACAAGAAAACATTCTGAACAGTTCAATCAGTTGTCACTTGAAACTATTACCATTGGGATGGTTATAATATGTAATAAAATGTTTAATTTGGTTCAATTTTTCGTAGTTCAAACTTTGGAATGTTTTTGTTGACATAAGACCGATGTATGGACAAAAGTTGACTGACACGCTCAATAACTTACCAAACGAAAGCTAAAAAACTTACTATTCATCAAAGTCGATCGAATCGAAAAAAGTCGTTAACTCGAAGAAGTAAAGCTCATCAAAATGCATCTTTTTAGTTTTCTCTAGTTTCATCGAGATCTATTCAATGAGATCAAATTTATTTCCAAAGACAGTTTCTACCTCTTCGTCTCTACTATAGTAATACTAGTCGGTGATTTCAGTAAAAGCAAAGATGATCGCATGACTAATTTTCTCCAACACATGATAATCCAGTTATTTCAAGTCATCGGACGTTCAGTCTTATACTTTGTTCAATATGATGAGTTCTTACTGAAAGATCTCATAATTTTAGAGTTGTTGTTAAAAAAAATAATGTAGAATGGTTAAATAATAATACTCAAATTCATTATTCTGTTGAACGTTTATTTACACGTCATGGTGAATATAAACAATCATTAATTGATGAACAGGGTGCTTTCATTGATATACTTCGTGTTGTAAGTTCCATAAGAAAATTTATACTGAATTATTATCACAAAAAAAAATTTGTTTTTTTCTTTTTATAGATGTTTCGAACAAAATTTGGTCGTGTTGCTGATCCAGTTTTTTATATTCTTGGTGGAAACAATGCATTTAATTATTCAAAAGCTATTGATAAATTAGAAGGTTATATATCACCAATATTTGCAGCTATTTCATCACGAATGCAAGGACCAAATAGAGAGAAATATGGATTTATTTATCGAGTAAGATAAAAGCGACGATACTTAAGGGAGCACACATAACGGGGGAAGCAACTAAGACATTGGACGAAAATACAAATCTTTAGCTTGTTTTGATGGTTTATAGTAAAGTTAGCCTTGATCCACTTTCCAAAACAAGAGAATTTTTCCACATAATATATAAAAAGATAGGTCATTACAAGATGAAAAAAAACTGAGCTCTTTGAAAACGAGTATATAGCATTTGTTTGTTGACAGTTTATCTACTGTCATTTTTTGAGATCAAACGAGACCAAAGTGAGTTTTAACATTTTATGAAACTTAATTCTTTATCAAATGCGGAAAAAAACTTAACTTGCGAAGTAATACGAGACTTACACAATCAAGAGATAGCTTCAAGGATAACGATGTTGGGCACTTTTCAATGTTCTTCATTCTGGCTAGAATCGTGTTGGCAATTCTTTCGACAAAAATTCTTTTGCGAAATCGGATAACAATCATCTACATCGATAAAACTTGGGACGTTTGCTATGGAGCCTCGAATTCTCCAATACAAGGATGCTCTATATACTACTAGATAATCATATGATTGTGATTAGGGTCACATGATTTATTAGTAAGAATGATTATTATGTGATTTCGCAGAAGAAATTTACGAACGAATCATCTAAATGATTCCAGCGAGAATAAAAAAACATTCGAAAATGTTCGACGTTGTTTTCCTTGAATTTGTTTACTTGTCTACTGATAGTATAAGTCTTATATTGCCTTGAAGGTAAACTGTTTGTTCCTCTATTATGTAGAATTGAAAGTTACATAACATGTCAAATATTTAGCGTAGTCTCGTTTGATTTCGACAAATAGAAGTAGATGTATTGTCAACAGACTGATATTCTAGACTGCTTAATTGTAATCTCTTTGATCGAGGCGATTTCTATTTAATGAATAATAGAACTGTTTGGTTTTCCGAGTCTTCGTTCTCGAGATAGTTGAAATTTTACGTAGTTTTTCAGCAAAAAGTTGTAATCACGCGAAAAATTGACTGTCAACTTCAAACTTTGCAGGAACAAAATTCTCAATGAGAGTAGTTGATTGTGCAACTAGTATTTTCTTTCTGAAGATATAAATCTATGAGCAAAACCTTTACATATAAAAGAATTTCGACTATTGAATATCTTAGGATAGAAGAATCGCAAGTCGATTTTTCTCGTGAGCAGTTTTTTTTTCGTTGAAACAAAATACCACTCTAGATCTTTTATTACTCACCAGTACTCATCAAATAGACATTGTCTAGGTCGTCAACGAATTTGACATCTAGAGAGATTACCTCATTACTAAATCAATGATTAGCAATATTGAAAATAACTAATTTCTTTCGTTCTGTTAATGATTGATCTTGTGTTATATTACATGAAGAAATTTCCTGTACAGAAAAGTCGATCAAGGCTACATTTACAATACTATAAAGCATTGAAATGACCCACAAGTGGTGTTACATGATGGGATTTCGAATGCATATAAAAAAAAATAAAAGTTAAGTCTTTGACCAGCGTCTCTTATACTGGCTTGATCCGTCATGTGCTCGTGAAGCGTATTATAATACTTATTTATTTAGACTAATGGAACAAATGGATTTAATTATACTATTCATAATGGTATTAATAATTTAACAATGAAAGGACAAATGATTGATTTTGCATCAGAATAGTAAAATGAAACAATTAACAATTTCTATATCATTGTTTTTTTTGTTTTCTATGATTTAGTTCGCCATTTAAAACGGCAAGTGAAGATTGGCAAACAGATATTTTTGGTGAAAGAAAACTTTAATACTGTTGAAAGATTTGTAATGATTTGCTTTTCTTTTTAAGATGGTTTAACATTTCCAGCATTGGGCAATCCACCAAATCGAAAAGTTATTAATGTATTTCAACCTGATTTTTGCAGGTTTGTACATTTAATATTGAATTTTAAATTCATTAAGATATTTTAGACCTCTACAACTTCGATACAATCGAACAGTGTCGGCATTCGGATTTGGTCAATTACATGAATATGTTTTAAAATTAGTTGATTTTGAAAAATGTCCAAAAATGGATGAACATTGTCCAGAAGCTGATAAACTTGATATAACCAGATGTTTATCAGGTAGGTTAAATTCAACAACAAAATTCAATGAAAATTTTACTTTCTCAGTTTAACAAATGAAATTTTCTATAGTAATCAATAGATCAAAGCGATCTGGAAAGTAAGGATAGGTGCAGAAACATTGATGTTGTCTTCGAGAAGCGATTGATACCCATTCAGAGTTCCTGATTAGTTCCAAAGGTAAGAGAAATGGTCTGCATATGAATACCTGGCAGAAGACAGCGTCCATCATCAACTTCCTAATCAGAAACTCTGCATTGTCACCCTATCTCTTTATATTTTATTGTATGGTGGAGTGTAAATATACCCTTTTATCTTGCTTGCGAATCGTTTGTAGACCCAGGATCAATGAAGAACTTTCCATACTTGACTAGTTCAATTTGAAAGAGTAAAATTTTGAACTCAGAAAGAAACATTACTAAGTGTTTCATTCTTCATTTACCCTCACACAGTACTCACGTTTGTCTAACAGAATGTTGGAATTATAAACTACACATTGGACTTATTCGAGGAATGTAACAATAGTTGAACATGAGAATTATTTTTTTTTGTTAAGGTGAACTTCCTGAAGAAACTGTTTTCTTAAGCAAACCACATTTTTATGGACATAATTCAACATGGACAAATGTTAATTTTAAACCTGATTTTCATCAACATGAATCAACGATTTATTTTGAACCACTTACTGGTACACCAATTCGAGCACACTTACGTATTCAATTAAATACAAATGCTTGGATTGATCGACTTAAACTAAATCCTGATGCATCTACAGAGTATGAATAAATCTTTTTCTTCAAAAATAAAGAAATTTTTCGTTTTTGTTAAGTCCTACTCGTACTCGTGCTATTCGTCGTTTTGTTCCCATGGTGTGGATTGATCAAGTAAAAAACATCTTTATTTCTTTTGTTAGATTCTTTCTTTTTTATTTTTTTAGTTAATAAATCTTAATAATGAACCAATGAATCGATTAAAACGTGTTAGTTCCATTCTAGGAAAATTTCATTACGTTCATCAATTACTTAAATTAAGTTATATAATTTTGGGATTTATATTATGTATTTCTATTGTGTTTGTCATAGAATTAATTATCTTTAATCGAAGAGTAAGATTTTTATTTTAGAAAAATTTTCATTAAATTATATTTTATTTAGAATAAAATGAATAAAAATGTATTATATCAACCTAGTAGAGAACAAGAAAAAGAATTATTAAGTCCTACAAAAGCATCAACAATGGTAACAGCTTAACATGAATTGAAAAGAAGAAAAAAAACTGTTTTTTTGTTTGTTGATATATGCTATTGATTTCATAGTTTCTCAGAATATGTGTGAAGTTTTGTTTGTTTGTTGGTTATTAAATTTTTTTCGTTTAGTTTTTTTTTCATTATGTATAAATAAATCTAGTTCGTTTTTTTTTGTTTTCGTACAAATTGGTATGATAATTTTTTTTGTGGTATAAACCAAGGAGAATAACCTTTATTTATTTCATTGAGTTATCTTTGTTGTTTGTTTTCGTTTTTTTTTTCTAAATATATATAAGAGAATTTTGAGAATTATGAAATGAAAATGTTTATCAATAAAGAGACAAATATTCGAATGGATCATTTTTAGAAAATAAATGATAGTATTTTCAATGAATATAAGATAACGTTGTAAGGTGCTAGTGATTTGAAATATGTCATGGGTGGATAGAGCTCGTCGAGTTGCCTATAAATATTCACTCTTAGCATATTTAAACGATGTTCTTGCAGTGAAACTCAAAGTAGTAGACAAGGCTTTGCTGCAGTTAATCATGACTAGTTTTATTACTGAATTACAAAGAGATTTGTGATTGCTAACACCTATTTTTGCTATCAGTCTCATAGCCCTGAAAGAAAAAAATATTCTGTATCAGAGGAGTCCTTAATATGTAATCTCATATCTCAGCTATCGTCATTACTAATTTCATTCGAGTTTATCAACCCTGTCAAAGACTATAGTCAATTTACTGTGATCATTGTTGTGGAAAAAAACCATCTGCTAACCTTTCGGAGTCAATACGTCAGTAATATTTCAATAGAATGAGTTCAAACCTTTTGAAAAGCTTTCTCTACAGTTAGATACTATGACTTACAAGTTTGACAAAGGAGTCTTGCACTAAAAAACATAGGTGAAGAAACATCACAGACGGAACTTCAGTTACATGTAAAAATATTAAGAATTGGTCATATTTTTAGTAGAAGACCATGAAAAATTTTGTATCCAGTCTTTACGACGTTATCATGTTCCGACCAAAAAAATGGGAGCCGCTCACAATAGCTTTCTTAATAATCAAGCAATAATGCCACTGCAATTCCAACAATCTACGGTCTTAACGAAGTACATATAGACAAATTCTCAGAGCTTTAGCACACAGAGTGACCAAGGTTGTCTAAGGCCGAGACTGTTGTCGGTATAAAAAAAAAACCTATAAAAATAAAAAATACAACAAAAACGTTAAATGTCAATATTGATTCGAATATTTTCGATTTTACTTGTCATATGATTATAGAAAAAGTCATGCTTATGTTTTGAGAAAATCGATACGGTAGCAAAATATCATAACTATTGGTTTTAAAATCTACATCAACGAGTTTATTCAATGCTTTAAACTAACATGATCAAAGTTTGACGAAAACTAGTTTCGAGTACACTGATTCAATGCAGATTTTTGTACAGATTGTGAATATAATATTTGTTTTAGTTAGAACTGAAGTTTTGACGGTTGAAATCTTATAATATCTTATGAAGATTTCAAAGTTTTCAAGGTGATCTTTAATTCTTTCTTCTCTATTTTCAAAATTTTTAATTACAACGATTGATGATGATTTAGGGTACAGTTTTAATATTCTAAAAATAATATTGACCTCAATCTTTTAAGATTTTTAATTCAAAACCGTGAAAATTAGACATATTTTCATGTTATTATACTAATCCATTCATGAATATTTATGTAATTTGATTCGAACAAAATATCGAGAGTATTCTCTAGAGTACTGGCAGTAGTTTGATACCTAAACGTTCGAGTATCTTTTGGCCACCATATACCGCGGTATACCGATAGTTGTTGTCCAATCGGTAATATACTGCCGGTATATCAGTATTAGTGCGAAGAAACGTAGAAAAAGTACCTGAATTTTGATTTTGATAGTCATTGTATTTGAAACCAAAGTTAAAATGTGTTTCTATCATACAATGAAATGATTAGTTATGCATGAAGATCTTTTGAGAATGGAGCGAACAGCTGATTTTTTTCTTTTCTTTTTTTCAGATTTATGTTACAATACATCTGTTGGTATATTTTCTATTTCTGTAATAAAGATTTTGAAAATAATTTTCGATAGAACATAATTGTTTCATCTTTTTCAAATTCACTACAACTCGAATTCTAAATGAAAACAATCAGTAAGAATAAAAATATCAAATAAATAACTAACAAGAATTCATCATCGGTGCATATAGATTGTTCGCAAGAGGGTCAAAAACCTGGCAACTGAAAATAAAAATCTAGCGTTCAGTTTACAGGTGATGAGCCTATTTCTCGAAAATCTTCTTTATCTAATTTGTTTTGATTAATAATATTTCATATTATCGTCGAATTTCAGTTAATATCGTGCAGGTACACAAATACTTGCTTCTACTTTTTCATTTGATAATAATCATAAGCAAACAAATGTGAACCTGTTCGATAACTAACCTTTTATTTTGAAGAATTCTTACTACATATATTCTAAAATGAAATTTGATTATATTCTTCTTTCTTTTTTTTTTTGAACACTTATTTATATAGTTGAAATTTTTCATGTATCTTCGATTTTTCCGCCAATCAAAAAACAAACAGTTCAATAAAAAAGAAGTTCATCATTTAAGAAAAAAAAAAAAAGTTGAACGAAGTTATTCATATTGTTGTTTGACAATTTGTTTATTATTTCAAGATGATACTTATCTATTAATGAACCATATCTATCTAGTTGATTGTTGTGCGTGACTGGTAAAATGAATAGTAAGCAAAAGAAATATACTAAGCGACTATTGTTCTATTGATGATCACATAGTTCATTTGCATATATATCAAAAAAAAAGGTACCAACTGGTGAAATATACAAGGACATTTTCTTTTCTAAGATAGAATGATAATATGTAAGAATATCTTCTGTATTTTGTTGTTAATAATTCAATATTATCAATTGATTTTGAATTTACATTGAGTATTTAGATACTTATGTTTACATTTTTATGTATAATCATTTCTATTCTTTTATGCATCATTTCCATTCGTACATTTAACATCTTAATGATGAACCTGTCGAATTAGTCAGTGATTGATGATAGAGAGTAAATTGTTAAATTATATATGAGAGAAAAAAAATTCTTGCAAGAAAACACAACAAGAGCTGATATATAGGTCAGTTTAGATTCAAGTTTGAGAACAGAAATAATAATTTGTAATTTTGTCTGAATTAATTGCAACATATTTTTTTGTATTGAATTCAAGAGCCTTTTGAGAGAGAAAAGAATTGCCTCAGGACGAGAACCCATCGAATTCAAGGATTTCGGAACCGGAACCACATGGTAACTGAAGTTAGATATCATAGTCAAGAAAAAGTTTTGTTATTATTTTTTCAAATTTTTTAAATAAATGAATCAAAGAATTTATGAATAAGACGAATGATAATTTAAAGAAATTCAAAAAACATATGATTATATGTAGTAAAGTCTTCTGTTGGCATGCACTCGATGAGCTTTATTCAGAGCACAATAGGTTGAATTAAATATATAGCTCAACAATTTACTTTATGATGAAGACATTTAATGATTGGTAGAATTGTAATAATTATTAATCATGCTCATTTTTGCTCAATAGGTATGAGCTCAAGTTTGTTAAAAATGTTTATTTGAACTGTTGCTAATCGTCACTAATAATTTGTTGTATACATTCGAGAAATACAAAAAAAAAACATTTATTGAATAATATTCTACTGAGTTAACCTCTGTACGTCGAGTTCAGCAATATAAGATTGCATTTTACTTAGGACAATCCAAAAATAGCGACAGTAACATTTTATTACCGTAGAATAAGCTTTAGGAAACTTTCTTTTTATATGGAGAGAGAGAATACAAACGATATTCTATTTTCTTATGATATTTGATCATTATTCAGCTAATCTCATAATAATAAAATTTCAATAAGAGTTATTTTTCTGTCATGTATTACTATTATATTGATGCCTATTTAAAAAAAAGTGAGAGTGGATATTTTTTGAATAACTTGTGATAGAAAAGAGATAGAGAGTTGCAGGTTTCATCGTTCGAAAGAGAAAAACAAACATGCACCGAGTGTTAAATAGTACATTTTCCTACTATGTTATCTAAAGTTTATTTAGTCGCTTTTCTAAATGTGGTAAAAAATAGTCTTTTACCAAAAAGAAAACAACAGAAAAAAAATTTTCCTTAGAAATAGCTATAAAAGTCACTTAAAACTTCGACTAAAAATCTATAACTCCTAAATGATTAATTCTAAACATTCGAAAATTATGCAGCTTTGAAAATATTCCATTGACAATTTGAATATAGACGTGACAATTGAAAAATTTTTGTGAACACCTTACACGGTAGATTTCTTTTCAAAGAGATTGATTGTAAATCGTTAACAAAAAATTATCTTAGAAAAATCATATAATGTTCGATTCGATAGATTTTTGTTTCCTCTTTCGAACGATGAAACTGCTAGCTCTCTATCTCTTTTCTATCACAAGTTATTCAAAAAATATTCACATCCACTTTTTTAAATAGGTATCAATATAACAGGAACATATGACAGAAAAATAACTCTTATTGAAATTTTATTATTATGACATTAGCTGAATAATGATCAAATATCATAAGAAAATAGAGTATCGTTTGTATTCTCTCTCTCCATATAAAAAGAAAGTTTCTTAAAGCTTATTCTACGGTAATAAAATGTTACTGTCACTATTTTTGGACTGCCCTAAGTAGTATCGAAAACTTTTATTTCGTTCTAAATATTTGATGTAAACCTCATATGTCATAAATGTTATTCAATCGCATAAGGTGAAGAACTAATCTGCAGAAGTATTTACAAAATCATACCATTATTTATTAAAAAATCAACCGATTATCTCATGTCCATAAATTTTGAAACTTGAATACAATAACAATAAACGTTAAACAACCCAGGTAATTCAAAACGAACAAAAACCATCCAGTAT